ATCAAATAAATACAGGCTTGATGCGCATAAGAGACTTCTTAAAAAAACCCCCAAAAAAAACCATTAAAATAGTAGTGTCCACATTTTTTGACCAGTACTGTACTATTATACTATTGCTGCATAATTATCTATGCTAGCACAATTATGTTTACTGCATAGTAAACGGTGTATCAATATACATAGACAAAATACAAGTGACTTGAATAGCCTACTACTTACCATTAGGGTGGCCATTTCCATATCACCAAAAAGGAGGACACTTAGGGGCATTTAGTGAGGCAAGAATAATTGCATAGGACTCTGGTGTACTCGCAACTACAATACAATTTTGTCCATCATATCGATAGTATCATGATACAGTGATTCTGAAATTGCCTACTCTATTCATTGCCAGACAATTTGATATACGATATATCTTGATTTAGACCTATGTGTAACAGGAAAAAGTGTTTGTTCACCTTCGCTAAGGTTGCGCCTGCAGACCACACACACTAGCCTATACTCCGGAGTTTTCGACCCTCGAAAACGGAGACTGACCTCTTCAGTCAAGTCCGAAGCAAGACAGTCAACCCATAGCAACGCGTTATGGCAACGACACCTCAGACTGACAGAAACGTAAAAATAAACGTATAGGCTACTTTAGTTTTGTACACATTGTCATGTTAATTATAACCAAATGCATCCCCCCCCCCCCCCCCCCACAATATTATCATTGATATTTGTTTTATTAAGTTTGATAAAGGGCAGGGGCTCGAGCACCAAAAGCCTCTGCACTGCCATCAGGAGCTGTATTACAGCACACTCGGCTCTCTCCAGCCACAGGGAGAACGTAACTCGCTGTGACAGCAGTCCCATAGAAACCTTGTTTTTTCCCACTAATACACTTCCATTACTTTTTCCAATGAAGCCCTCATACACGATTCTTAAGATTTACACATCTGGAAAGAAATTAATAATTTTTTTTTTATAAGGATTAAATAAATTGATAAAAAAAAATGTCAGTAAAGACTTGTCTCTGTTACGAAAATAAATAAATGCTCTTCCTTTTATTCATAAAATACATTTTTTTAAAACACATTTTTTTATTGAGCAGCAAATGAGTATATTTGAATGAGTCCTGAATGATCATGTGACACTGGAGACGAGAAATTATGCTGAAAATGTAGCTTTGACATCACCGGAATAAATTATATTTTAAAATGTATTCACATATAAATCTGTTATTTTAATTTGTTTTATTTTATTTCTAATAATTGTTCACAATATTACAATTGTTACTATATTTTTGATCAAATAAATGCAGACAACCCCAAACTTTTGTCAGAAAAAAATGCCTTGAGATGAACATTCACTGCCATTGTATATGTACGCCATTTCTGACACTCTCTAAAGTTTCATGACCCTGGAATATTCCTGAATCTACTGTAAAGTAGGTGAAAATGCATATTTAGACAGTGCAGTTGATTTGATACAAAAGTCTTCTCAGGAAAGGCTGAATCTCAGTCCTCTGATACATTCAGAGGTTTCCTTAGACTGTGTTGAAAATCATGTGCAATATGTATGATCTATGCTGAATAGCCTCTCAAATGTGAGAAACAAAACAATTTTTTGATCACTGCATTCAGAAAACTTGTTTAACATTATTTTTGTTTGTAATGTTTCCCTTTTTTAAATCACTATGTTGAGAAATAAAGTGTGAACTAAATTATATTATATAGTTAAATGAGTATATTATATAATTATATTGCATTTCAAACACTTTTTGAAGATTGCTAAATTCGTTCCAAAATGGTTATCAGTGACATCAGTAAACAGTGACCTTGATGTGTGTGTGGCACGCTGAGTGATTCAAATTGTCAGAGCCGGACAGTAACGGAGTACATTTACTTGAGTACAGTACTTGAGTACAATTTTGAGGGATCTGTACTTTACTCGAGTATCATTTTTGGGGAGTACTCATGACTTTACTCAAGTACATTTGAGAGGCAAATATTGTACTCTTTACTCCAATACATTTCTATCCATAACCGTGAGTACCCGAGTAAAAAAAAAAAAGAAAAAGAAAAATCTCGGACACCCTCAATTTGTTGTTTCCCTCTCAAACGTGATTGGATTGTGCAGGCGCCACTGATTGGGACAGCCTATCAGCAATCACTTTCAGCTTTCCGCCAAAGTCAACTCTATGGTCAGATTTTATATTACACATTAATGTAAGCCAAGCATTTGGTTTGATGTTCTTGAGTATGTGGTGTGTTTAACACAGTCAGGTCCAAATGTGGCAGTGGCGTAGCCACTAGGGCTGCAACAAACGATTATTTTGATAATCGATTAATCTAACGATTATTGGAACGATTAATCGACTAATCATCGATTATTTTCGCAGACTAATCAGTAAGTTTGGAACGATTATTCAGCTTTTCCAATTATTTAAAACATTGAGTTATACATATTCTAACTATAATATAAAAAAAGAAAATCACTTCAGCTTTTGAAATAGTTGTTTTAATGAACTTTGAGCCAACTAAACAGGTCATTCTCTTTAAGTTTTCAGATTTCGGTCCAACTCAAATCACACACAAATGCTCTCTAAGCATTGTTTAATAGGCCCACTGCTTTTCTTAGAACTGAAACAGAAAAAGGGACATTTACTTCAGGACACAAAGAATGGTAAAATATTAATCTGCAAACAATTATTATAATTATAAAATTACAATCTTTTTTTACATGACAATTGAGCTGACAGAGACGTTCTCATTCACCTTTTAATTTATAGTATGAAAAAGTAACTGCCATGATATTCTTCCTATATCATAGGAAGGATAGGCCTATAACATCTCGTTTTGTAAGTCTTCATGATTATTGAACAAAATACAGGCAAGTGATAAGACTATAATAATACCTAATATACTAATAGTGTTACAATAATAAAAACAGCCCTGACTCCTAAGCTGGATCAAGCTTTATTCTATACAAAATAAGTCATCACATTACTGTAATTATATTACTATTGATAATATTATTACTATTATTAGTAGTATTGCATTCTCTAATAAAGAGAGATTTACCGCTGGTTAGTAACGTTAAGCTCCAGCTGGAGAACACTCACTTCTCACCGGCTCCTCTTTTGCCGGGATGTTTCCTCTTGCACTCCAACATGCATGTTGTGCTCCCATGAAAATTGCACACGACAGCATTCTTGATTTGAAGTTTTGTGAAACTTTCCCAAACCTAAACCTTGCTAGTTCGGATTCGTTTGCACTGTCATAATTCGCGCTGTATTTTCTTCTACCGCAATAGCATTTGTAAGGGCTGCACTACACTCTAGCGCTACAGCGCCGTAGCGGTCAAATCGCGGGATTGCAGGCCCTTACATTAGGTCACGTGAGATCAAACGACTACTCGACAACAAAGATATTTGTCGACAAATTTTTATTGTCGACGTTGTCGACAACGTCGACGTTGTCGACAACGTCGACTAATCGTTGCAGCCCTAGTAGCCACGAGGGATTTCGGATTTCTTTAAAAAAAAACTTTAGGAGGCAAAATATATTTTTACTGATTATGTGAATTACACTGCGCAAACCAAAGTAGGCTAATACCCAGCGAATGAAGAAGGGTTGGCACTCAGTCTCCACAGTACATAAAATATTCATTTTGTTTTATTTTATTTTTCGGGTTTGCATTTATGAGGAAAAAACAATGTTATGGACGTGTTCTCCGTTACGGACGTGAGCGCTCTGAAAGCGGCATAAAAAATGCTTTAAAACTTTCACAGAGACATCAAACAGAAAACACAAAACCTTTCTTTAACCTGAACTTCGTTTTGCATTAATTGTATCTTAATTTGAATCAATGTTTCATCAACCAATTGCCTGGGTTTAATAAATAAGAAGTAAATAGCAGACGATAGATAAGAAACGGAGGCGCCGGCACGTGAACTGGATCTCGTCTCATAAATGAACCGAAACACAGTGTATAAGGTAGCCTACTTGCCTCTCACAGACATGTCTACTTTTAAACAGAAAAATTCAAAACGAAAGAAAACAGACTACAGACTGCTCTCTGCTTATGTAATCCGTATGAAATGTGCATTTCTCTCTGGCGCGTTCACTACTGAAGATCGCGAGTCAGCATCGTCAACTTTATCTAGCCGACACTGACAAAGAAAACACTTGTTTATTAACAAGTGTTTATTAATAAACAATTAAAATATCTCCTTGCTATATTTTACATATTCATAATCATTCCTTTTGCCGGTTCTTTGTGACAGCTTTTAGGTGCTTTATTGGCAGCGCCACCCTTACATGTGGTGTGTGTGTGTGTGTGTGTGTTGTCCCCGCATTTAAAGATGGGACCCCCCAAAAATTTAATTTAATTAAATAAAGCAACATGGTAAAAAGATGAAAATGACTTGATTTTACTTTCAATTCCTTTTACATTCTCCAAGGTATTAACATTAACATTTTTCATAACTCCATGTAGGACGTTTCTGTGCATAAATGTAAGCACTGTGGCAGTAGATTAGTAATGCAATATTTAGAAAATCTACTCTTGTACTCTTGATACTCAAGTACTTTTAAAAACAAGTACTTTAGTACTTTTACTTAAGTAGACATCTGAATGTAGTACTTTTACTTGTACTTGAGTAAAATTTAGCAAGGGGTATCTGTACTTTTACTCAAGTAACAAAGCTGTGTACTCTGTCCGCCTCTGCAAATTGTAAATATGTTCCTGCTAAACTTGTTGCTATGCTACATTGCATTGAGTGAACTGCTGCTGCATTAGATTTTAACCTGTTTTTAGTGTGAAAATGTGTATTATTAGCTATAAACAAGTAGGTTGCTACTGTGGTTCTCTGAGGGTTAGGCAACCAGAGCATAGCTTTAAAGAAAGAAAAGAGATAGAGTTAGGTTATACAACTAGAAGCTTCCAACAAAAGATGTCCCAGTAATCTTTCCCCTTTAACTTTCTGTATCTTTCTCTCTCTCTCTGACTGGTAGATATCCTGGCCTTCTTCACCTTCTCGACGAGATGAATGCAAGTGGGCTGGGAAGGACGTCCAGGTAAGTGCTTTTCTTTAGCTTTTCTTTCTTTATTCTGTCCCCTCCACAACCCTGAGATCTGTCGGATAGAGTTCACTGATGCATTGAATTGCTTGTTTGTCTACACCATTCCACTTCTCACCGGTTCATCTCTCATATATTTCTCTTTGTAGCACATTTTTTACTGTATGTATGATTTATAAACAAGATGAAACCATAAAAATGAAGGAGCCATATTATGCACAAGAATTTTGCTCTTTAATCTTAGTCAATGTTTCTTTTACCAAAAACAGTAATACTGATAATTTCCAACCCGATCACACTAAATGAGTCTCTATACTGCCCTACAAATCAAAAAGGCAGTAACTGCATTTTTGGTCAAAAATGAGTTATTATCATTTTCATGACATTCAAGGCATCCTTTGTTATGTGACAAAACATCTTATCTCAAATGTGTGTCGTTTTGGAGAAAAATGGTAGTCGTTTGTACAGTAACTGCAAAAAGCCCTAGTGAAACAAAGCAAGAGTACAGTAACATCCATTACTGTATTCTTGCTATGTTTTACCTAACAAAAAATAACCGTGTTGCTGCGCAGTGTAGTTAATGTTGCCATGGTGAACACACAGCTGATTTTGCGGCATCCTCACGGGACGGTTTTAACATTTGCGATTTCACGCTTCTAACTTCACACAAATTTTGTTTGAGATGCAGTGTTTCCCCTAATTGTTCCCCTACCAAACTAACACACACACACACACACGCGCGCGCTGAAGCACGTGTGTGACGCTCGAGCTGTTTTTTTGCCTATATGAGGACACGGTCTTCACGGCAACCCGTCAAAATAAAAGTTCGGTTTAACTTGACAAGAAATATTACTGCTGTACAGTAGAATTTAGAAACGTCTCAATGTAATAATAATACTAACACTACAAATAAATTAAGATTAAAACTTAATTTTTAAAGGAATAATCACAATTTTTCTTCAATGTTTTAATTTTAACAGTAAAGCTCATTGTGCAGCATGTTGTTTGACCAAAAATGTTTGTTTTTAAAATATTGTATAAGTTTAATAATAGTTTATAATAAAAGTTTCATGATTTCAATTAATTAGACATGATTTTTGATTATTAAAAATTTACACCACATATCCGTAACACGCCCGCTCCGCAACACTAGTTTCACAACACAAAATTTTTGAAAATGTTGTCCAAATGGTTCCAATTATTTCAAACACAGTGTATCAGACTCAGAGCCCAAGTTGTGGCAAAATAGTTTTTGGAGAATCTGTAGTTACTGCCTTTTCCCTTGGTATGGTGCCACGTTTTTGGTAAGTAATACAAAGCAAGAATACAGTAACTGCAAAATAGGGGTACAATATCAAATTAAATATGAGGATTGATATGTACAAAGAATAAGCTAATATAAAGTAACAAAACAGCCACATGTCCAATAATCTACCTACAACTACTTAGGCTGGATGACAGGATAACTTTAAAGTCATTTTTCTCTGTTCTGCACTCTGCGTAGTTACTGCCTTTTTGCTTTGTAGGGCAGTATAGCACGCAGTGTGTTTATCGTGTAATTTATACGCGAAAATGAGTTTTTACGTGCATAGGATACACATGGGTTGGTTAGGGTCGGTTTAGTAGTGGTGTGGGGTGCGTGTGTATTACACGCAAATGAACTGCGTATCAAATGCACGCGAAAACTGCGTATCATATGCACGTAAAAACTCATTTTCGCGTATAAATTGCACGATAACACACAATGCATGCTATAGAGACGCATTTACGTGAGAACAGGCTGTAATTTCCCACCCTCCCACTGACCCCTAGAATCTGTTCTTAAAGTCATGTTTGTGACTTTTTGCCAAACCGTTCAGAAGTTATAAACAAAAAGAGCCATTTTATTTTATATCTCCTGACCACTAGGTGACACTGTGAAATTGGTGACACTGTGAAATTGTACAGGTAGCCTCCGGTCATGGTTGTCATTACACAAACCAAGTTTGGTCAGAAGCATTGCTGAGATATAGCCGTCCATTTTGGCGTGCTCTTCGTCGAATTCGTTTGTGTGTTACTCGAGAAAAGTTTGACAAATCAACTTGAATTCCTTAAATGTTTGACTGCATGGTCTGAAGATGATCTGGTTAGATATTTGTGAAAATCAGAGCAACGGCCTAGGAGGAATTTGAAAAAGTAGTTTTTCGGAAAATTCTAAATGGTAATTAGTTATTAACATAAACGTGAGTGCAATTTTGGACAGCTGGTCGCACTAGATGGATTGAGTTAGAGACTCCAAATTTGCTATGGTGACAATTCACACTGTCCTCTATTTGTGTGCCAAATTTTGTTCTATGGGCGGCCGTAGATTTCCAGAGGGGAAGAAGCAGCAGCGGAATAATAAGAACACTAACGATTACAATAGGGGCCTATGCACCATTGATGTTTGGCCCCTAATTACATTTTAAAATTGTCAAAATATTTTACAATATATCTCCTTTACTGTATTTTTTTGTCAGATAAATGCAAACTTGCTGAGCATAAGAGACTTCTTCAAAAACAATATGTCTACATAGTACATCAGATTTCAAAAGGGCAAAATACCCTTTTTTTATTGAAAGTAAATGTAATGTTCGAGATGGATCCAAAAAAAAAAACATGATTAGTTTGCTTTCGACAGGAACCTCTCGTTCTGAGAAGGTAAAGCTGAGCTTGTCTGTCATCCATCTTTTGCTTTCACAAACAGTGTTAAAAGTTTCTCCCACAAGATAAGCTCAGCAGATGTCAATGAAATAATGAACAAAAAAACAAATCACTGAATTGTGGGACAACGGTGTGTAAACACTTTCCAGGCATAGCTCTCATAAATTCCAATGCAGATCCTGCCCGAGGCGCTGCCTTGAACATATAGAGCCATAGAAAGCAGCACTCGGCCCTGTTAGCATCATAAAGAGACCATAAGGTTGGTTGGTTCTCAATGGCGCTTATTTGAATTGCAATAACATGCATTGTGTGAGATTTTGATGTAAACATGTCTCGATGAATAGCAGGGTACTCACTGAAAGATGGCTTTTATGTGAACAGAGGAGTCCCGGTGAAAAGAGACAGATTGACTGAGGCTTGTTTGAAGTGAAGTGGGACAATGTCAATTTCAGGCCCTTTTGAGGGACGAGGAAGGCAGAAAACTGCTGGTTATGTTGAAGGATCTAAGCCGCGATTTGTAAGAAACAAAAAGGAGTGAGATCAATGCTCATCTTGAGACACAAGTCTTCACAAAAACATCCATTTATGTTGGCGGCAGTGCTGCATGTTAGGTCAAATTGTCTCTGGACTCTTTTTTTTATTTTTAACTAAATTACTATTTATATTATATTTTATTGCATTACATTTAATTGCATTACATTTCATTACAGATAGGCCTTGGCAAAACCAAGATAGAAGTGTGCATGGACAAAGCAACCTTTTAAAATCTCTAAAAATTGATTTTCCTATTGGTTATTGTGCAATTTCACTATCAAACAAGGTGCATGGAAATAACAAACCACTATAAAGAATGTAAACCAGCAACACTTTGATACGAGAACTTACATTTCAATTAAAACAATGCGTTTTTGTCCTGATGACGGCATGTAGGTTTAAATAAAGTATTCCCATTAACAAATGCTTGTTGGGAGAAATTAACCTATAGATTAGTTGGGATAGGAGGTTGGAAAAATACTTGTATAACACTTGTAATATTTGTTTGTTTCATTGTACAGATTTAGTTTCTGCTATCATTACAATATTGGTGAGGTAGAAGAAGAAGCCAGATCTTTGAGTCACGTATTATATGTTGTCATACTTTTCTTTAAACCTTTTCCACATCAGATGAGTCACTTCAGTCCGTTCCAGATGAGGCTTGCTCAGACACGTGGCTTTAACACAACTGAGGAGCTTCTGAACACACACACACTCACACACACACACACACACACACACACACACACACACACACACACACACACACACACACACACACACACACACACACACACACACACACACACACATTTCCATAGGCAAAATCCCAGCTCAGAGGCTACAGTAAAGCTGACACACACACACACGCACACGCACACGCACACGCACACGCACACACACACACACACACACACACACACACACACACACACACACACACACACACACACACACACACACACACACACACATTTCCATAGGCAAAATCCCAGCTCAGAGGCTACAGTAAAGCTGACACACACACACACGCACACGCACACGCACACACACACACACACACACACACACACACACACACACACACACACACACACACACACACACACACACACACACACACACACACACACACACACACACACACACACTATATCCCTGAGAGTACAGGCCACTGGAGCTCTGGACGCCCATAACAGGATTCCCCTGCAAATACACTAAACACCCTGCTGAAAAACAATTTCAGCTGTTGTAATATTTTCCTTTTAATGAAGCGCTTTGTGGGAGTGTGTTGGTCAGCTGTGAGCCTGTGCCGCTGTGTGTGGAATTCTACTGCATGTGTGAGAGAGCAGAATTTTGATGCATACTTACAGACATTACATCCTTTTGCCACAATAAACAGAGGACTTATTCAATATTATAGGGCAAAAGATGATTGGTTTGTAACAAACACATGGTCATGCAACATTAACCTATGTGTGGGCCCTATACTATTGAAGGTGAGCATTTGAAAGTCATTATTTGTGGATGTACGAAGTAATTTCCCCTCAAGTTCACACATGTGTCCTTGCAGAGTAATCACAGGTTTAGGTCAGTACATTAACTATGTTCCACTAACTAGATTGCTACCAGAAAAAAAGTTTAGGGTCAGTAAGATTTTTTACAAATGTTTTTGAAGGACAGTTATACTCACCAAGGCTCTATTTGATCAAAAATACATGTATGTACAAGATGTAAAATTCTTACATTTTAAAATAAATGTGTATTTTTTTTTCAGGATTCTTTGATTAATAGTTAATTTATTTGAAATGGATTTTTTTTGTAAAAAATGTGTACACATATATTTTATCTGCATATATATATATATATATATATATATATTATTTTTGCTATTTTGTATCTTGTTGACATTGAGTGTGCCCTTACGTATCCAAATACGTGTGTGTGTGTGTGTGTGTGTGTGTGCGTATACCTGGAATTCCCTACGTGTTTTTGGTCCTCATGAGGAAAACAGCTTGTAAATCATACTAAATGAAGTGTTTTGAAAATCTAAAAATTCTTAAGTTTTGTGTGATGGGTATTTAGTGGTAGGGTTATTGGATTGTATGGTCTGTACAATATAAAAATCATTACGTCCATTGGAAGTCCCCATAAAACATGAAAACGTGTGTGTGTGTGTGTGTGTGTGATAAGCTGTCTGTGTCTGTTGCCATTTGTTGACACAGATGGGATGTGTTTATTTATCTGAGAACGCAGTGACGACTGTGAATCAAGAAATGCTGGTGCACCACTGATTTAGTTTGCTTTTCTCTCTGTCAAGTTCAAGACCGTTGTTTTTGAAGTTTCTGTTGGTAAAATATTGGCTATATCAATATAAATGCTGTTTTCTGATCATTAAACGCAATGTTGATGTTGACTCTTTCTCTCTCTGCAGAAGGAGTGCTCTAACTTCATAAAGGTTCTGCAGCCGTTTAACCAGACGCACTTGTATGTGTGTGGAACAGGATCCTTCCATCCCGTCTGTGCTTATGTGGAAGTGGGCAAACGCCCGGAGGTAAACTCATCACATCAGTTAATCTTTCACAGTTTATCGGCTATTCTATTCTGTCACATTGTTTTGTGACTTTTGATTATTTAGCGGTCACAGATAAGACCATAACATTTATCCTCCCTGTTAGCGAATCACTGAGCAGCCTTTCAAGAAGAGTTTAACAATGAAATGTGAGTGAAATTTGATGAATGTTTCTTTGTGGATTTGCGTAAGATTGATTGTGTGCTTGTTTCTATCCAGGACAACATCTTTCGGCTAGGGTCGTCAAACTTTGAGAATGGCCGTGGAAAGAGTCCCTATGACCCCAAACTGCTGACTGCTTCCATGCTGATCGGTGAGTGTGTGAGGCAATTTGATTTTCTGCTTAAAATTTCAATTTAGTGTAATCCCGTCACATTTGACGGGACATTGAAGTCACATTTGCGACCAAAATTTTATTTAAAGGGTCTTAAAAGGGTTGGTGGATGTATTTTATTCAAACTATAAATTGGAATGATGCGTTCTTCACTTTTAACATGGGTGGTGTAAATAGTCACATGACCCCATTGCCCCTCTGAAAGATGTTTGTGTCAGTTCCATAAAATGAAGCAAGTAATAGGTTACTATGTAAATATATCAATGGTAAAATTTAAGATCAGTGGAACTGATAACACTGAAACACTGATATTGGTATCTGACTGATTCAAGAATATAATTATTTATTTTACTATATTTCTTTACTCTGGACTTATTCCTTAATTTTGTGTTTATTTGTATAATTTATATGAATAATAGTAATAATAATATAAATTATTATAAAGTGTATATATAAAGTTAAAGTTAATATTACTATAATTACAAAATATTATAACAATATATATTTAAAAAATATTTGAATACAAATTATTTTTCCTACTTTACTTCACGTTAATTCACGTTACTTTACTTTAGTGAGGTCCAGGTATGAAACCACATTGGGAAAATCTGGGTTAAAAAATAATAATACCTATAATTTCTGAAATTCATGTATAATTTTCATCTCAACCTGTCCATCAAATTATGTTAATATAAGAGAGAGTCAGAACATGTTTCTCTTCTCAATAGCAGTTCTGTTCTGCTTCATCGAGCTGGTTTATTTAGCTCTCTGAGAAATTAATTAAATGATAAAGAGAATATAAAGAAGATTTGGTTAGTTAGCGACCATGAATATACATCTCTCTCTCTCTCTCTCTCTCTCTCTCTCTCTCTCTCTCTCTCTCTCTCTCTCTCTCTCTCTCTCTCTCTCTCTCTCTCTCTCTCTCTCTCTCTCTCTCTCTCTCTCTCTCTCTCTGTGTGTACCTGGTGTCCACACATACATACACACACACACACACACACACACACACACACACACACACACACACACACACACACACACACACACACACACACACACACACTGTAATCCAGAGTGTGTTTTGCCTTGGTTCATGTGTTCTGAATGGAAACTCAACACCCTTGATTAATGGTCTGTCTTCAAGATGACCAATGCAGACTGTTCCTCTGGTTTAGTGCTCTACCTACAGAGCGTTATACTGTTAAATCTCTCGTCTCAGATTAAAGGTCACTAATGACACACACACACACACAGTCCCATTCTCTCAAGCCATCCCTTAGCGTGAAATTGCCTATGAGTGTTGACTGTCACACCTCTTTGAATCCTCACCTGAGCCGTTATTAAAGTTTACAAAACCCAGATTGAACTAGATCCTCCCGCTCCCGTCTCCTGATATTTTATTCTTGCCATCCACTTTGAACTCACATTAACCCTCCTGAATATGAGTTTTAATTGGCGTTTTTGATCATCAGATGGGGAACTGTATGCTGGGACATCAGCAGACTTCATGGGCCGGGACTTTGCCATTTTCCGAACTTTAGGCAAGCACCATCCAATCAGAACGGAGCAGCACGACTCCAGATGGCTCAATGGTGAGACATGCAAAAAACACATTTACACACAGCACTCATTACTTTTTATATACCGTATTTAAAATGAATGCAAACAAATGCATGTACTTGATACACATGCACTACCGTTAAATAGATTATTTAATATTTTTTGTAAGTTTCCAATGCTCACCAAGGCTGCATTTATTTGAGAAATACAGGAAAAAAGCAGTAATATTGTGAAACATTACAATTTAAACTTAAAAAAAAAAAAACTATTTTAAACAGCATTTTTATAAGTGTTTTATGGTCGGATTGAAAACAAAAACGTGTGAAAGTCTCAGAGTAAATGAAAAATAACTTTTTTTTAACAGCAAAAATAAACTTTATATCTCTATAATATGACTTATTATTTTATATCACAGTGTGGTTTTATTTCTTTTTTTAAAACTTAATTTCATAAAAAATTGCTGTTTTATTTTTACTCTGAGGTCGAATCCAACTTCCATAAAAGTAAATTAAACATAAAAACTTTAAAGGACTGTTTACCTATATACAGGGCATTTATATAATTTGATCACAACATCTTGATAAAAATAATATTTTATGGTCATGTTTTACATTAACTACCCACACAAATGTGCAGTTTTATATGTGAGAGAAACAGAGAATTCTTTAACTAGAAAATCTGGATTTTTAAAACTATCTGCACTATCTGAAAAAAAAAGTGATGTCATGACCTCACAGCTTGTGTGCTAATATGTGTGTTTGTGCAAATCTGATGGAATTAGGATTATATACCAAATAGCGTCATTTCCTCCATACTACTTTTTTTTGTTAACTGAATTAGAGTAAATGAATGCCTTTGCCTCCAGTGAACATGTTTTGCGTCATAGTAGCGTGTGTGTGTGTGTGTGCTGTAGATGTGGTGAGCTGACTGTCTATGTCGCTGTGAGTTAGTGCCACAGTGCTGGTGATGTGAGCTTCTGTGATGTGGCTGTTGGTTCTCTGTGAATAAAGCAATAATCCTGAATACTCATGAAAACAGGCTGTGAAAAGCTGGGGCCCACAAGACTGTAAATAGAGCCTACAGACGTTTAACATCTCACTAACACTCACACACACACACACACACACACACACACACACACACACACACACACACACACACAGAGAGTGCAAAAATATATTTGAAGAGTCAGATTCATTCAACTGTACAGTATAAACAATCAAATTTAAATTGCAATGTGGAAATGTCCATTCTCTTGCTTATTGGTCCATACTAGTTTTAGATAAATTATTTTTTCTGTATTATGTATTTTTATACTTTAGTGTTAATGCGTTGTTTGTTGGCCATCCAGATCCTAGATTTGTCAGCGTGTATCTCATCCCAGAGAGTGACAACCCGGAAGATGACAAGATCTATCTGTTCTTCAGAGAGAACGCCATTGATGGGGAGCAAATTAGCAAAGCCACACACGCCAGAATCGGACAGCTGTGCAAGGTACACAGACTCTTCAAAATAATATATTGTCTGCCTCATTTTGTGATAAGAAGTTACATTAGCTCACAAAAGGAAGTTATTTCAAACACTTGACTTATGTTATGAAGAGAGTTTGGAGTAAAAACATGTTATTAAAGGGATAGTTCACCCCAAAATGAAAATTCTGTCATCATTTACTCAATCTCAAACCTGTATGAATTTCTTTGTTCAGAGGTATAGTTTAAAGTAAGATATTTGGAAGAATGTTTGTAACCAAGCAGATCTCGCCCCTCATTGACTACCATGGTAGGAAAAAAATACAATGGTAGTCAAAAATGTATATCTTAGAAGACTGGAATTATCAGTTTCCTCATTGGAAAAACACCTCTTCCTACATTTTCACAAAACTCCAAAAACACACAGGCCTACAATTCACTGACGTTTCCAGCTAAAATTAACTATATGGCAGTAAACCACCAACTACTTTTATTCCTCTTCATTTTATGATTACAGGGGCAGATTATCTATCAATAAAGACTTATTTTCGTGCGGTTTCATGCGCAATACTATATTATGACCTCAAAACACTTTACCCAAAGTGCATGATTTGCAAGTTAATATGCTTTTGCGATGCGGTGTCCCATAAAACAGGAGTCACATCAATAGAGATCAGAGACTTGTACTGTAAAAGCAAGATAAAATGGCATGCTTTGCTTCAAAACATGGTTGCTTCAGCAAAGGGTTTTTTTTTTTCCCTCACATTTGGTTTAGTTTAGTGACCTTATTTTCAAACCTGATAGAGAATTAACACTCACTGGACATTTCATTTAAGAACTGCTGTGATACGTACAACAACTAACGCAATAAAACGTTGCCATATTTGCCATATTTCATTTGATAAAGCCTAACTTGCTTTAAGCACCACTCACTAGGCACTTCGAAAATATTACGCAAAGTTTTGTCATTTTGCAAAAATGTCATCACAGGCATTTGTTTTTTCCAGTGCCCCTGGGTTGCCCAGATAATAACAAATAGACACAAATAATAGCAAACAGTATGAGTATAGAGAATGAATGCGGCTAGCATAGCTCCGATAATTTGATCTAGGAAGAATCTGATGATTCCCTATTGAAATCTTTGACATTTGACTTTGTTACAGTATCTTGGTGAATTTGAGCACACGTCTTATTCTCAAGAGAATAATGTAAGAGGCAGAAACTGCTTCCTTTTAATTTCATTATCAAGGAAAGATGATTCAAATATTAACAAGATCTCCTATTTGATTTGTCTTTGCTGTGATGATGCATACGCACAAACCTTTTCTCCGTTCCTCTTCTTCTCATCGTGTCGAGACGGGTAGCAGGATGGCCAGAGCCAGTGTTTTTGCATTAGGCTTCATCTCTGCTGTTTTGCGGCCTTGCTTTTTACCCCCCACCGTGAAACTTAAGAGATGCCTAAAATGTCACAGGAGCCGTCAGGCAAGAAAACAAAGACTCCTCTGTGGAGAAAATGTGAGACTTTGGCAGACTCGCTCAGCTCAAGTGCGAGTCTACAGCTTGAAGCGGTAGAAAGGTGTTCTCAATTACAGCTCGCTCGGTATTCCGGTATGACTGGAATCCTCCCTTCACCGGCGCAGACAATTGTCTCATTATGCAGAGTGTATGTTTAGTTTATGCAATGCATTTTCTAGCCCTGCTAATTAGAGCTGATCAATCCAAAGTTAGGGAGACTGTTTATATTGCTCATGTGTTTCAAATGCCGACTGCCAGGTGTTATACAAAAAGATACACTTCAGAATCGATCATCCGTTTATTCGTCAACACCAAAACGTTACACCACACCGTTCGTGCTCGAACAACCACAACAACCGCACTTCCGGGAACTTCATAATATGAGTCCCATTTTTATTCCCGGTAAAGCGTCATGTGAAATATTAAACAATATTCAGCACAGAGGTATAATGTGCATGAACACATTTTTTTTAATGTCTTAAACTTAACATGTCTTAAACTTAACACCAGGTTTTTGGTGTAAAACGTGTGTGTAAATGCACATGCACACACGCCTCATTTTTGTTTTTAAATCAAGCTGCCAAAATGACTTGTTTTGTTCTTGCCCCTCTTTATTATGTAATAGAAGTTAATACATTAGCGCACGGCTGCCTGTTTATTTTTGATTATGTGAATGTTTCAGTAGAATCCTGTAATCAACACTTTCCACAATTAGTTAATAATGGTAGCTGTAATGGTAAAAATCTTGTAAAAGTTTTTAAAATTGTTGAAAAGTATCTAAGAGACACAGGGGCTTTTATTTCTAAATGATGACAGTTTTTGATGTAAAAATCTTGCATTATGAAATGAAATTCATGAACACTTCAATCACATTTTAATAGAAATTGAGATATTTTGCTGATGTTTTAGTCATGTTGATAGTTGCCCCTACTAAGGAAATGTTATGGCCATTTTTGTTTGTGCTCTGGAAATGAATGAACTCACTTTATTTTTGGTAGTCAACTTTAGACATTCTACTAACTACAAGTCATTTTGCAATTACTTGTCAACTAGTCAATAGAGTATTAGTAGATTGTCTACAACAACATGTCAACTAGCTTTAATTAATTTGCAACTACGTCAACTAACTCTCTTTAGAGTATTAAGTATAAGTAGACTGTTGGGGAGCATCACAATAAAGACAGTCTACTAATACTCTAATGACTGGTAGTTGACATGTAATTGCAAAGTTAGGTGACTAAGAAATTGGAGAGATAATGGTATTCTGAAAAATCTACATTATTCTATAAATCTTTAAGCCTTTTTAAATGTTTAAATGCAGTTGCCAAGTAAAAAAATCTGAGTTTGTATTAACAAACGTTCTTTGTTTTATTTTTAAAACTTACACTTATTGGAATTATATGCATCTCTTTGAATTTCCTAATTTGACTTACTTAAATTTGAATTTCAAAACTAGTTCAAGCATCCCTGCTTATAGCATCATGACCTTTTGCATGGACAAGCAACACTCACATTTGACTCAGAAAACAAAAACAAAAAAAAAACATGAAATATGTTTGATACAAGTAGGTTTTAATTTGTTTTTGACAGAACGACTTTGGGGGCCACAGGAGTTTGGTGAACAAATGGACCACCTTCCTGAAGGCCCGTTTAATCTGTTCCGTTCCTGGCCTGAACGGCATCGACACACATTTTGATGAACTACGTAAGTTACCCATGCTATGACAATACCGTCATCCTTTGCTCTTCTGCCCTGCTTCGACGTATTTAGTTGACCACTCATAGTTGCCTACCTGAAATTGTATTTGATCGTTTCCAGAGGATGTTTTTCTCATGAGCTCCAAGGATCCGAAAAACCCTATTATCTATGCTGTATTTACAACATCCAGGTATTAAAACATCCAATTTACACCAAATTCCCATTTCCCACCAAGCATGTCTGCTTATTCTGTCTTTTTATATTCAAAGCTTGATAATTGTGTCTTAAGTCCCTAAAGGTGAACCTGTGACAAAACTCATAATTACTGTTTCTCGGGTTTACAGTAACATCTTTAAGGGCTCAGCGGTATGCATGTACAGTATGGCAGATATCAGGAGGGTGTTTCTGGGCCCGTATGCCCACCGAGATGGACCCAACTACCAATGGGTACCATTTTTGGGTAGAGTGCCGTACCCAAGACCTGGCACGGTAAGACGGCTAATCAGTGCAGATATCTTTGTACAATTTACTTTTCAAATGAAAGTGAATTGCCTGCTTTGATTTTAACACACATTCTCCTGGATGCTGACAGTGCCCCAGCAAAACGTTTGATGGTTTCGAATCAACAAAGGACTTTCCTGACGACGTTATCACATTTGCCAGAAGCCATCCGGCCATGTACAACCCAGTGTTCCCCATCAATAACCGTCCAATCATAATCAAAACTGATGTTGACTACCAGTTCACTCAGATAGTGGTGGACAGGGTAGAGGCAGAGGACGGCCAGTATGATGTCATGTTTATCGGCACTGGTGTGTAGTTTTTTAAATAATGTGATTTATATGATTTTTGTCAGCATGTGCATTATGCAGAACACAAGTTAATCATGTTATTTTTCTTCCATAGACATGGGCACAGTTCTTAAGGTGGTTTCAATTCCTAGAGGAACATGGCATGACCTTGAGGAAGTCCTGTTGGAGGAGATGACTGTGTTCAGAGTGGGTTTATAGAGTCTTTTATACAGATTTATTTCTAATAGGTTTAGTATTAGTATTGTTTTTCTTAGAAAACAATATACTGTACATTCTACGCTGTAGTGTTTTCCCACAACACTCTAAAGGCACCATTTATAGACTTTTATCAATTTTCCCCTTGTTCATACTGAGAAATAATTTGGTGATAAACAATATGAGTACATAAAAAATAACATCTTTTTACAGGAACCAACACCCATTACTGCCATGGAACTCTCCACAAAGCAGGTATGTATTATTAGAACTTCAAACAACTCATCCCTTAATGCAATAAAGGTGGTGAAAGCAGCTCTTTATACGTGGCGGCATTGAACATGATTATATTAGGTAAGACTGAGCAACATAAATGGTTTGATAGGTGAAGTGCAGGGAACAGAGTGAATTTAAAATAGTCTAATACCCTAAACAGGCCTAATACTTTATAGAACACAAGGATAGATAGATAGATAGATAGATAGATAGATAGATAGATAGATAGATAGATAGATAGATAGATAGATAGATAGATAGATAGATAGATAGATAGATAGATAGATAGATAGATAGATAGATAGATAGATAGATAGATAGATAGATAGATAGAGATTGAATGTACAAAATGGGTGATAGATCATGATTTATGCATGGAAACCATTTACTCACATTAAGACCCAATAGGTCAGGTGACCCCCAGAGAGCAGAACTAGCTTCGCATGTGAAGTTTTTGAGTGAATGGGTGTTTTGTAGGAAAATTGCCATGCCACACTGCATTTTGTTGACAGAGGTGATATAGACCAGCCAGATTTATCATGTATCAAAAAACCCCAACACAGCTTTCAGTCTAAGGCTGGGTCACACACACACGTTGCTTGGCTTCAATCTACATTACGCAGAACAGGGTCTGCTGTCACAGTCACTCACCGAACACGGCAACATGAGGTACTGCCATTAGAGGCCACACATACACACACTGTCACACACACACCAGCTGTTTTTTTACACTCAGGACTGCAGCGTGAGCTCTCCTTTAGACGGTGTGAATAATCAAACAGACACTGAGAGGTTATCTGAAGCGATATATAATTAAAAACCTGCGTACAAGCCCAGAGAAAGTTCCCGTATCCTCAGTGAAACAGTCTTTAACTCAGCTATCACACCGGCACAGACCATTAAAAACTTTGCCGTCATTGTTTCAGGGAAGTCTCAATCGCTCTCCTCTATCTTTACAGCAACAACTCTATCTTGGATCCACCATTGGGGTTTCTCAGATGCCTCTGCATCGCTGTGACGTGTACGGGAAGGCCTGCGCCGAGTGCTGTCTGGCACGTGATCCTTACTGTGCCTGGGACGGCTCGCAATGTTCCCGATACTTCCCAACTGCTAAGAGGTACAGTGACGAAAACAGAAACACTACAAAGTTGACCTAAGATGAAAAGATGCTCCTTTCCACTGAGTTTTGTGCTGTTGTTTTTTACAATGAGCATCTGAATTCCTTTCAGATTGCTAATATACTTTTTACCAAAAGCTTTTTTAGTTAACATTTAGTTTAAATTAATACTTTATTTATTTTAAATAAATAAATACTAATTTATTTATTTGAGGTTTTAATAGTTTTATGTGATTTTTGTCTTTTTCATTAGTGTTTTTTTCATTAGTGTTTTTATTTTTATTTCAATTAGTTGGCAAGGAAACATTTCTATTTATTCTCTTTTAATTTTTAAGAAAAAGTTTTTCATCTAATATTTGTATTAATTTATTAAATTAAATTATTTTTTAAATGAATTCAAATTAAATAAATTAACGACAACCATTTTTTAAAAGAGTTTTAAAAATAACAACACGTAGTTGACACAAAAATTAACACCAGAATGACAATTCTGTCATCATTTACTCATATCTCATTTACCCTCATATCATTACAACCTATATGATTGTCTTTCTTCCATGGAACACAAAATGAGATTTTTAGTAATGTCTGAGCTGCATAGTCTATACTGAAAATAAAATATCTTGACTAGGGACTGGCACAAAAACGTACATAAGAAGTACCAAAAAAGTTGTCTGTATGACTTCTGCACTACATTACAAGTCTTCTTAAGCCATATAATAGGTTTGTGGAAGGAACAAACCAATATTATAGTAGTTTCTCAGCAAATACTAACTGTTTCTCTCACAAAGCTATTATATGTCTTAGCGCGCATGTTGCATGCACTACATTTGTGATTCTTACTGTATTTTTGATATAGGACTTTAACAGCAGAATTATTTAATTGATATTTATATACAATTCTATTGATACTGGTTTTCTTTCTTCTTTTTTTCCCTTTTTCTGGGTCAACTTAACATACTTTCCAATTAACCAAATATAGAACATTAGAAGTTTTGAAAGCACTTTTCACAATACATATCACTTCACATTTGACGACTTGAACTTTTTTGAGGTGTCCATCAAAGCCTCATTGGACTTCCCAGCTGTCCATTGTAGAAACTCATCTCCTTTGGGCCGTCAAAAGCAAGCATACCCCCTACTTAATATTTGATCTTCAATTTCCAAAACAAGAACAATACAGGTCTCACATTTACGGTCCATGTCATGTTGCAGTAGCAAGTGATATGTTTGTGGACGAGGTTCTCTGAGAGGTTCTTTGTGCACTACTGGTGCTGAAAATGCCTCACAAATTGCCAGCATTACCGAGTTGCCTCAAAGGTACATTCACCAACAAGACGTCTCAGGACATATATTGCATGATACCTCTTTTCATAAAGGTTAAAGACTAAACAGCACAGAGCTAAAACAGGTTCCATTTCAGACACACTTATGCTCATGTAGAGCTGTGTTTGATTTACTTCGAGCATAACAAAGTGAGAGCTTTTCTGCGAGACAGATGTGTGTGGGAGTGGATATGTGAGTTTCAGTGCGCTCACACTCACCTGACCTCTCTAATTCTCTGCTGTGTGATGTATGCTTGCAGGAGAACGAGGCGTCAGGATATCAGGAACGGAGACCCTCTGACTCAGTGTTCAGATCTGCAACACCACGGTAAATAGCAGCGAATATCAGATCGTGTTTATAATGTGTCCAACAACACACTGTTACTGTAGGTTAACAAATCTAAACCTATACAATCTAGAACTTTATTCTAGGTCTTTACTTGATAACTAGATTTATATACAGTACCGTTTAAAATTTGGGATTAGTAAGATGTAATAATAATATTAATACTTTTATTTACCAAGAATGCATTAAAAGGGGCAGTAAATACATTTATACTGTTACAAAAGGTATCTTTTTCAAACAAATGCTGTTTTCTTGATATTTCTATTCATCAAAAGGATCATATATATATATATATATATATATATATATATATATATATATAGTGTGTATATATATATTAGGGCTGTCAAATGATTAATCGTGATTAATCACATCCAAAATAAAAGTTTGTTTTACATAATATATGTGGGTGCACTGTGTATAATTATTTTATATATATAAATACACACACATGCTTGTATATATTTAAGAAATATTTTCATGTATATAGATTTATAATTTATATTAGGCCTATATATAAATATAAATATTTTATATATAAATAATATTTTTTTCTTAAATATAAATGCATGTGTGTGTATTTATATATATATACAAAATAATTATACACAGTGCACCCACATATATTATGTAAAAAAAACTTTTATTTTGGATGTGATTAATCGTGATACAGTATATATCACGGTTTCCACAAATATATTAAGCAGCATGACTGTTTTCAACATGTATACCAATAATAAGACATTTTTCTTGAACAACAATTCGTATTAGCATACAAGAATGATTTCTGAAGGATCATGTGACACTGAAGACTGGGCAAATTCAGCTTTGCCATCACAGGAATAAATTACATTTTTAAATATATTCAAATTATAAAAACGTTTTTTGTTTTTTTTTGTTATTATTTTAATAATATTTACCAATATTAAATTAACTGTAATTTAAAAAAAAGTTATGTCATATTGCACAGGTTAGTTCCAGTCCTTGATTCTGATTGGTCAATAGGTGTGTTTTATTCACGATAAAACACCGCTATGACGGCTTCACCCAACGGTTCTATCCATCTATGGTTCTATCTATTACACAACACCCCAAGCAACCACTCTAAGCAACGTTAACATATTGATATTGTTCATTGAAGCTTATATATAGAGAGAGAGTATTGTGAGAGATCGAGTAAGCGAGTGTAACGTACGTTAGCACTACCTGCATTTACAGTAGACACAGCATCTTCCTTCAGGTCAGTCCTATATTCGTAATAAAAAATCTGTTTGACTTTGAATGTCCTCTGGATATATTGTCCTTTTAACAGTTAAGGGGTTTTCCATGCCCTAGTCATTTGAGTCTTTCTTCTCGGTGTTCACAAGTTTCACTCCTTTCAATATAAAAGTCTTCTCTACTGACTGACTCACTCATAAAGACAGCCTTTGCTGCCATCTAATGGCGAAATAATGTAACTTCTGTTGCTGTTCACTGTCAGGGACTATTTTTTTTTCCAGCAGAAGGAAGGCTTTTAGTGATTTTACTTCATAGCAGCACAGCCTCTCGTACCTTATTGCTTGCATATTATTGTTTTTACAGTACTTTATAACAAGCCTTGGTGAGCATAAGAGACTTCTTTCAAACACATACAAAAATTGCATAGAACCCAAACTCTTGAGTACTAGCTAGTCATTTAGCAAATTATTTAATACAAAGTGCCAAAACACTTATCCACTTGCACAAGGTCACAATGTTGATGGCTCATGTCTCACTTCTTATGGGGCTCAAACCAACAACCTTCTGTTTGCCAGGCATGCATGACATTTCCCCAACATCATTTGTTGGTTTTGGAATACCATTTCTATCAAACAATAGCCCTAATTATATCCTAGAAAATGATATCCTAAAAAAAACACAAGAAAATCTGATTGGTTGATAAGTATTGTTGGTCCAGGACAAACAAGGATGTTGATCCAAAAACATAGCCTTACTTCTTAACTGTATGTTAAGCATGATAACATGCGAGCTAGAAGGCAGTCAGGGCACATTAACAGGGCGTCATACTTTTAAAATAAAACTCAGGATGCATGTGCGGGGTAAAGAAAATTTTTAAAAAGGCAGAGGAGATAATTGTAACTGTGCATAACAGTATTTTAATAAAAGCCCTGCATACGTGCCGTGCATTCCAGGTTAGTGTTTAATTAAAGCTTTAAAAGAAACAAGGCCTAAAAAGTCAATACCACTACGTTAATGACACAACTGAGAAACGTTTCACAGCTGTTGCAAAAATACAGGCTTTAGAACATGCACTTATACACATCCACGCAGATATATGCTATAGCGTTCAAAAGTTTGGGGTCTGTACGATTTCTGAATGTTTGTAATGTAAACCTTTTGTAACATTATATCTTTACTGTAACTTTTTAACAATGCACTCTTGCTGAATAAAGGTATTCATTTAAAAAAAAATAAAAAAATCTTACAGAGCCCAAACTTTTGAATGGTAGTGTAGATCACGAGGCCACTGGAATCATGGAGACCACACACAGATTTCCTGTGTCGGGAGTTCTGGTCTAACACACCTCATTACAGTGACACCACTAACCCACAGCACGGCACTCTGACATTTGATAGTCCAAACTTAAAATAATGGTAGAAGAAAATTAAAGGCAGAGGAATAGATGCCACTAGAAACAACAAGTGATTTTCTCTCTCTCTCTCTCTCCCTCTCTCTCGGACTCGAAACACACTGAGAGATATAACGCTGTGATACAGACATGCTGGGTGTGACTTTGTTAGTGTGATATAGCATATGGCCTGAACTATCAGTTTGTATTCTCACTGCAGGATGTCCTGTCTCAGAATCAAGATTTCTCACTTCTTTTCTGTGTTTCTGTGTTGTTTCCTCATCTATCTGAGCAGATGAGGCAGATGGCGAGAGAGAATTGCTGGATAGGGTGGTATATGGGGTTGAAAACAGCAGTTCTTTTCTGGAGTGCAGTCCTAAATCCCAGCGAGCCCTTATTTACTGGCAGTTTCAGAGACACGGAGAGGACCGCAAACAAGAGGTATGTTCTGTTGTGTAAACTGTTGAGTCCACAAGTAAAAGCTAAAGTATGAGACCACAAGGAAAAACGCTTCTATTTTCTATTATACATTTTCAGCATAACAATTTAAGTAAAAAGTTGAATTGAAAAATTCCCTCTTTTACTTATGATAGCAGCACAAGCCCGATGATGATCATGATCTCCAGCATGATTTGATAATAATAATAATAATAATAGCATCATGTGCTTTACTGGGAGCAAGAACATCTGATCTTGTGGAAGAGTTCACATGATTAATGTTACAGATGTGCTGGTTTGATTAGTGACCTAAAAATAGAATCTTAAATATGTCTTATTCATGGTTGGTTATTTATTTATTTATTTATTTACCAGCCAAAATATTTGACCAATATTATGCCAAACATATATATTACCAACCAAAACATATGACAAAATGTGTATGTCTGAACAAAGAAAGCACACTAAATCTGACATTTTCAATGTCCAATGTGGTAATAGATCAGACATAAATTTGAGTTTTGCGATGTTAAATAACAGGTCATAATTCATGCAAGCTTCAATCAATCTTACTCAAAATTCCTCAAAATTGTGGAAAAAAAGTATTATACATATATAACATTTTTGTTTATACTTTTGCAATATAAATAAACAAAAGTATAAAAAGAAAATTGTATATATATATATATAAATTACATATAAAAAATACTTTTTATACTTTTTTATTCTTTTAACTTTTATAATTTTATTTTTAACACATAAAAACAATGATATTAGACTAGAAAATTGAATCACTTTGGTGTATGGGGTGAATACAGCCAAAAATGCTGACACTGTTGTTGTCAATAATGTTTACAGTAGCCTACTCAGCATGTGATTTGATCCATATGTCTGTGTGTGTGTGTTTAAAAAAAAAAATTTTTTTTAGATAAAGTCCGATGAGCGGGTGTTGGGCGCAGAACAGGGTCTGTTGATCCGAACCCTCCATCAGAAGGACTCGGGTGTGTATTACTGCCACGCTGTCGAGCACGGCTTCATCCAGACCCTCCTTCGCCTCACCCTCAACGTCATTCCCTCAGAACACCTGGACGATCTCCTGCACCAAGACACGCCGGACAGCAACGACCCGGCCAACGGCAAGATGTGGTACCGCGACTTCCTCTCCCTCATCAACCCGCCGAGTCCGAACAGCGTCGACCAGCTCTGCGAACAGGTTTGGAAGAGAGAACGGAAACAGCGCAGGCAGAAAGCTAATCTGATGCACGGCAGCCAATCACACTCTAGCCAGCTCCTCCACTCCAGCCAATCACACGCCAGTAAGTGGAAGCTGCTACAGGAAAACAAGAAAGGACGCAACCGCAGGACCCACGAGATGCAGCGGGTACCCCGCAGTGTGTGACCTGGACGATGCGGAAATCCAACAGACTTCTACTGTTCCACAGACATAACGCTGAGACTGAAGACAGGAAGGGCGGAATTCCGTTTCCTGTATTGTGTGTGCGAGAGAGATTTACTTGTGAACCAGAGCACATCTTCATTCACGCCTACAGTACGTATTGAGACTCAAACCCTGAGAGGATGTAATGTGATGCTAACAGATACTGAACTACCTGTAAATATGACACAAATATACTGTGAGACAGGTTTCAGTCTGTATAAAAAACCTGTTTCATTTTATGAGGGACAAAACATGAATGCTGAAAGACCACTGTTTAACCTCCATTTAGCTAAAGCACAATCCCAGTGCATTCTGGGCAATGAACTTGTCAGTAATATTATGTGTATAGAGTGTGTTGACCTTAACATACAGTATACTGTATATCTTTGTATCAGAAAATGTAGGCCCTTCTGTTTATGTACATGTACATATCTATTAATTAAGGTATTGCTTCGTTATGGTTTCTTCTTCTTTCCCCCCCCCTGTTTTCTATCTATTTTCATCTGCTGCAAAAGCAATGCCTCAGCAAATCCATTAATGGGGCGGTGTTGTTCCTCTGAATAAGCTCTTCCTGACAAGAAAAACAACAAAAAAATCTTTTCTGCTATTTTTTTAGATTAATATTTAATTTTGTACTGTGCCAGAGTATATCTAAAATATTACATAATAGTTTTATTTTATTATTTGTTGTCCTCATTGTAAACCACTGCATTGTGAGGGTACACAAACCCTCTTCACTAACCTTTTCTCCTCAGTTAAGTTATTTGTTGACTTGATTTCATCTATGTTCACATTCACGTTTATATAAAACCATTGTGGTCGAGGATGTGAAATATCGTGGCGTTTATTACGAAGTACTGCCATTAAGATAATTTTTGTCATGTTTGTTGCACATATTTTGGAAATATTGGTTTTCACTACATTTACAAAAGACAAACACAAATAATTTACGAAAGACCAATCCACACTACCGCTATGGAGAGTATATAGGATGTGCTTTCAGCTGAAGAATAATTCTTTTGATTGCATAACTGTATTATTATTTTTTATTGATGGCCTTTGTAACCAACCGCTAAAGAAATACAGGTTCTAGTGTTTAGATTTTTTCTTTTTATGTGACACTCAAGCCCATATTTGAAGTCAACATGGTCACTATGTCCACGACCCATTTTGCTACTATAATGTGACATTTCTGAATGGAACAGCATATTTTTTTATGAATTTTATTCCCAGGGAATTCATTGAATTATGAAAAGTAGGTGTTCCCTACTATATATATAATATATACTGTAGTCCATAAGATATTCCAAGAAAAAATAAAACATTTGTTTTTGTAAACTCTCATCAAAACTTGACATTTATTAATGTGTCAAAAGCATAAGACTGAACCAATGGGTGGCACCATTTTTTCAATCCGCCTCACTTTAGGATTTAAATAAAAAAATTGTAATGTTGTTCAAATAAGTCTCTAATAAATTATATTTTAATTTAAGTATGAATTACATATTGTGTAGGCTATGTATCTATGCATGTATATGTATATTATTAAAATATGATGTATTTATTAGACTTTATTTGAGACATATATAATATATATATATGCATGCCTTAGAGATGCATTTTGATGAGAGATAACACTTTTTTTTTTCTTTGGAACAATTTATGGACTGATTAAGATTAAGTAAATCGTAAGTAAATAGTTGATTTTGATTTTATGTTGACTTTAAATATGAAAGGGCCAGGGAGGACAAATGTACAACTGTTAGATAATATACTGCGTCTGTCCCTCAGCTGAGGAAAGGACAGCTGTGTTCCTAAAACTGCTGGGATCAAAGACAGAACACAGCATGGGACAAGGCTCCTGGACTCCTTGAGAAGTCCTACTTTCACATCTCACTGAATTAGTTTTAGCAAGACGTTTTTGTTGAGGCCATGCGCGCAGCACACATGTATCTGAATGTAGCTGTGAACTTCTAGACTATGAAAAAATGGTCCAAAATATATGCCACTGTGTACAAACTGCATGTGAATTTACAGCACCACTCACTTCTATACTCGTTTACAGTGGCTGTTCTTGTTAATGAGTGATTTGTCTGGCGTTGGATTCCAGGTGGTGCTTAAAAATATTCTGCTATTCATGACAGATGGTGTTATCGACAGGCATAACTTCTGCCTGATAAACTCTCTCCCATTGTAGCTAAATATATAACCAACAGGAAACCGCTGTAAACTAAAGGATTTCAAACGCAAAACTTAAAAGTATGAACTCGATTGGTCAGCTCTGTTTGGATGGACCTTGGGCAGAAACGGACACCGGCCTTGCTTAGACTTTCGCAGAGACTTTCTTGAACTGGAAATGGGGGACAAAGACATAAAAATGCTGCTGTAAATTATTCATTTCTGGCATGCATTCTGCTGTTGAAATAAATGTCTCTTCTAAAGAACCTGTTTTAGAGGGGTGGACAGCTGGATGAGTTTGTGTTTCTGATTGCCTTGGCAGTGCTGTTATGTTCTAGGTCCTCTGACCGCTGCACCTGGGCCCAGGGAAAATTTCTCCCTGTCTTATGTTATTTGTCTTTCCTCATGCTGGAGTTCAGTGGGTTCTCAACCATGAAACTTATAATACTGCTGAGAAAAGCAAAATGCTCAGTGTGAAATTACTGACACACTAACTGACACATAATAATCTATCCATCTACCCATCCATCCATCCATCCATCCATCCGTCTGTCTATCCATCTGTCTGCCTGTCTGTCTGTCTGTCTGTCTGTCTGTCTGTCTAAATAAGATGTGTATAATACAAGTAAAATAAATAAATACATACATATTCATACATACATACATAGCCTACATACATGTTCATGTTAAGTCTAGGAGAGAATTAATAATTACTTGTTTGTTGGAACCTACATTGGAAAGTATAATAAAATAAGATGTGGAAAGCTTATTAGAAAATGTACCTATATTGATATTTAAATGAAACCACAATAAAAAAGCGCACGAAAAAAAAAAGGCAAATTGAATGCGTATCCTTCCGTATTAATAACCAATCATCATCAGAAATAACATTTCGTACCAATCATCTTTTATTACCCTGCCTGTTCATGGCGCACGCACGCTACAAGAGCACAGAGGAAAGATTGTTGCTCAAATATCGATGATAACCCAAAATGTTGGATGACAACAAGTGAAAAATCGAATGACAGGTTCTTTGTCATAACGAAGGAGTGAGGATGGTGGTTATCTACACAGATAAGTAGAAGTTAGATGGAATGGGGCCCTCCATTCGGAATGTTTGTGTTTGCAATAGGCTATGTCGTTGACATATGTTGAGATTGTTGGGTTTTTGATCGGAAATATTATAAGGTGTCATTAATTATCAAAACTTTTCCATCTGTTTGTGAGCGTAGGCCTAGAGGAATGCCACATTTGCAAAGACTTGTATATTTCCTTTCCTTAGCCTATTGTACATATCAAAAAAATAAATCTAGTGTTTATGTAGCCTACCATAAGATCTAAAACATATTCTGGAACACCGGCATTTCTAACTATGCTATCTCTATTGTAAACAATCAATGCATCATTTATGAAATGAGTCCATTTGGGAAGACTCTTTGCCAGTAAGCAAGTAGCCTACCTACATAAACCAGACCAGAACACCTTTGTAACCTCAAAGAAACACCCTGCTCTGTATCTGTTTTTTTTTTTGCAAAGGCATTGGCCAAGCACCACTCACATTTTCCCCAGAAAAATGTAAAGCTTTTTAGTTATATAAAACGACATGTCTGCCATCTAGTGGTCGATTTTGTTACTGCAAATTCAAGGTTTTTATAATCCAGAGCTTTCCAGATTTACGACAAGGCCATCACCACTAAATGAATCTATAAACACTTTTATAGCATTCTGTAAATCCTGCTATACCCAGCTCAGCAGTAACACATGTTAGGAACAGATTTATGTTTGTCGTTGAGATAAAAAAAAAGTGAAAGGGTTATCGAGACTGACAGTCTAGTATTCAAAGACATTGGGTCAATTGTTTTTGCTTATGAACTTTTTGAACTCCCTCACACTCAAAGGTGACGGCTGGTCATGTATAGTGTCTTGAGGTCAGAGGTCATCCCGATTGCCCCACAGACTGCTCTGTGGACACAGATGTGTGTCGTAAAAGTCCATATCTATGAACGAGTGCATTAGCGGTTGTGTGATGAATGAACTGGGCAGGATTCCATGGTGCAGACCATTGACACTGGGAATAAATGCCCAGAGCTCAGTTATTTGAAGTTTTCACCTTTGGGAGTGCTTTAAACCAAATGAGCCTGTGTGTTCCATGATGTGTTGAGCCATGTGTTTTGTATGCACTGCAAAATGTCTGTGTGACACCTAATCCAGAAGGCCATATACAGAGCTTTGGACAAATGTGTAATACTATTATATAAGGGCAGGCCCAAGTGTGTTTACTTGTAGTCAACTACTTGTAGAGTCATTTGTGGTCTACGCTACAAATAAAAGCAAAACAAACTGTTAAAACACAATCTTAACAATTTCTTTAGCTTTATTAAGCTCAGAAAAACAGGATGCCAACATTTTTTACCAGCTGGGTGCCCATTAATGTGGCTTAGTGTCAGGATTGTTTACACTGCTTTATCAAAGAGCATGAAAGCCTTCATGTGAGACAGCACTTTGCTTATTATTATGGTTCAGAGACGGCAGCATACTTTAATGGAAAATTCCTCCAATGCCTATCTAACACATGCTGGCTATAGTCTATTATCTATTCTCAATCTGATAGATGAATAATTATAGATATGTTTAGTTAATATATATATATATATATATATATATATATAACAGACATTTATTAGGATCTATCCATTCAGTCGTGTCAGATTCTCCATGCTGTCCTAGCACTGCTTCTTTCAACTCTGTAATGTTCATATTGCTGTCTGTTTTGAATATGTCAAGTCAGCAAGTTCTTTGCTGTCCCCTTCTTCTGTATGTCCCCCTCTTCCATATGTTATTCATACTAGCCTTTGCAGTATGGCCCAATGCGAGCCTGCGCTTAATTTCAGGGGTGGATTTTCCTTTTTGATCCGAGGAAGATAAAATCCTGAACTGATTCAATATCTTCGTCATTGATTTTAATCTTCACTTCTCTAGCTGCTGTCTTCATGATCTTTGT